TAGCTATGGTTTTTTTCATTGACAGTAATCCTTGTTAGATGATCTCAGACTTTATTGCATCCTAGCACTGCTGGGATTTGATTTGATTATTTTCTAGTTTTTAGCCATTAATTAAGAAGCCTGGAAATTGCATTAGGATTCCTTGGCTTTAATTTTTTGTTTTGACAAAAGGTGTTCCCAGTCTATTATACAAATAATGGCCTTTTAGCTCATAAATTAAAAGTAAACTTTGTGGCTTGCAGAAAACATTGATTTTGACTGTGTTACTGACAATCTGTCGCATTGAATTTCCAATTCTGACTTGCTTTAAGCATCAAATTTAGTTTTGATACCGAGAACGAATCTCTACCAGTCTATTTAGTTAATCGGCAACTGACGAGATCCACAAGATTAGGATCGAAACCGCGGTCTTGCCTGACCATCTATAGAAAATGTCGAAAGACATTATAACGGCAGATGGGCTACTAAACGCCCCAGGCCAAAGCAATGCCATTCAGAGAATGAAGAAAACATGGAAGCCTCATACGACACCGCCACTGAAGATGATCTACTCGTTAAGTCTGAGGATAACGAACAAATCCCTCTGTACCGAATGCCCAGCAGAACATGCCCAGAATCCCTACAATATAGGGCGAGGGTCAAAAGAAGAGCAGACGAGGATTTCAAAATGAGATAAAGCAAATCCTTTGCAACGCGGAGCAAGAAACAGTAAAGGCGATCATGTGCTTCTATGAACGTGAAATCGGTCGTTTTAATACCGAAATAAAGAAAAGAAAACGAGCCAAAACGGCTGGAACACTGAACACTAAGAACTGTAGTACGATCGAATCAGCGCGCGTGGCGCAAGCTGAAAGCAATCAAGACAACTTAACGATCGAGACAGTCAAAAAAATAGCTGTACATCTACAAAGGCGAACGATTCGAAAAAGACGCAATCCCTGATGTGCGTACTCAGTGCCACACATAAAGCAAATTCTCATGAAAAACTGGCATTTAATAGAAACACAACCACTACTGAGCGAACTATACAAAAATCCGCCGCTCGTATCTTACAAAAGAGGGCGGTCGCTCAAAGACATACTCGTGAGGGCTAAACTTTGAATAGGCTACTCTAAACACACGCTTGGGAGTCGTGTAGGCCTGTCAACCCCATTTTACGCCACCATCTTCCTCTTCGCTACTGGAGACAACTTCGCTTCGTTCAGAAGAAGATTCACTTGACAAAACTTCAATATCTGCCATCTCCTTCGCCCACGAATACAAACAAACAGTGAGTGAAATAAACCACGCTATCGGAGTGAACACAACCAGTGACGTCATCAATCCATTTCGCTCGGTACCAGGGCCCGGACATGGTTTTGTGTAAAATTTTTTAATTGAATGGTTAAAAAAGATATCTTTCGCTTCTTTTTGGCTAAAGCAAATTCTCTCATGATGATCAGCATATTCAAAACTACAGGTTAGAGCAAAATTTCAGTTACGAAAATTTCGTTTCAGTAGCACTTTAAGGATATCTATTTATTCACTTTTGAACGGTAGCCATGAAGGGTTAGCGAAAAATTCTCGAGCGCACCGGTTCTTTGAAAAGCTGGAGTTGTCTTCAATTATACCGGATATTAGAATACATAGACCTTACTCGATGGTTTCAATAATGTTGGTTTTGAAACGTGATGCTAATCCAGTTCCAAGTAATTGTCACTTTCAAACAAGGCCTTACTTACTTACTTAAGCCACTGTGGTTAATCAGCCCCCAACTGCTATGTCCGTTAGGGAAATTGTTATGACCACTAGGTTTTGCGTACGTGCTCTTTGGATAGTTATGACCACGAGGTTTTACTCAGTTAGATTAGTTCAAGTGTGAAGTGCGTCACCTTCTGCTCGGCATTGGGCCATAGTTTCTCTACACTGTTACTCATCTACTCTACCAAGTCAAGTTCATTGCGTGTGCAAACCAAAGTGAGTAATCTATTCCTTGTTTTCTTTTAGGCTTAGTTCTTGAGTTCTCCGTTGCTATTCGTTTCAGTTTAACTTTCCCTTTATCGCCTATGAATGGCCTATCGTTATTAAATCGGTTAGTTAGTTCATATCTCGAAATCGCGCTTGATTACGTCCAAATCTCCAATATAGGGTTATTTTGCCATAAACTACAGTTCAAGTCACATACCATGTAGCTTATTAATCGTTTCTTCCTGTCTTCCCTGCGATCAGTGTAAGGATCGATTATGCTAGCTACGCTTTCGTGTTACGGACGTTATTGCGAATGTTAGTGTTAGTTTCTTCGTTTATATTATTTTATCTTTATACTTCAACACGCTAGTCACGTTAGCTTCTATTTTCGTTATTGTATTTCAGTTCGAACCGGCATACGGTTTAAATCATACGATTTGCGGATAAGCCTACAGCACGTAGTTGAATTCTACCTTCGTCTTGGCACGCGCTCAGCTATTCGTCTATGGAACATTGACCTCTGTCAATATTAAACTCTGTTCATATCGTAGTCGGAAGTTCTTGTCGAGTTCGTCTTAACGATACGCACTGCTCTTCGTATGTGGTTACTTGGATTCTTGGTCTGCCGTATTCTGTCCTTGTAAATCACCTTTAAGTAGGCGAATATTTTTCCAGTTGCGTGGTAAATTTCGGTACCCCGTCAAGGCGAGGAAAGATTTTGAGAAATTAGCAAAATACAAGCTCGTATAATAATAATAATAATAATAATAATAATAATAATAATAATAATAACGAATTTTTATACAGGATTGAAAACCCATCAGTGTGTAACACTGTTGTCCTTGGGGTCCTGTCAAAATAATAAATAAATAAATAAAATAAAACTTAACAAGATATAATCATTGATCTTAAGGTCTAGAAAAGCATACAATAAAATAAAATGCTCTGAAAAAGGATACCTATAACCACGTTTAGATCGAATTTANCACAATTCCACCGGCTATGTTCTAAAACAATTGGTTCATGCTTTCAGCTGTGCACTATCGAGTTATGGAGCACGTGGGAAGTTTGGAGAGCACTCAAGAAGCTAGAGTTGCCCTCGGCTATCGCCTCGGGCAACTCTTACGCTTCTTTCGTGCTCTCCAAACTTCCCGCGTGCTCCATAACTCGATGGTGCACGCTAAAGCATGAACCAATTGTTAACTGTAAAGTGAGAACGGGGTGTGAGACAAAGTAGGATAACGAACAACTAAGGGAACTGTAAGCGAACCGTAAGCGAACTGTAAGCGAACTGTATAAGCGAACTCCAGAACGTTACAGATTCCTACATCGGACTCACTGCAAACGACTTCAAGACCCGCTACAGCAACACACCTCATCGTTCCGACACGCAAAGCACCGCAACTCTACCGAACTCAGTAAACACATCTGGACACTTAATGACAACAAAATCAGCTATTCTATCACCTGGCGCATTCTATCTTCACACCTGCCCTACAACAGCTTAAGCAAATGATGGAACCTATGCCTTAAAGAGAAGTTCTTGATCATCTGCCGACCCGACCTATCTACACTCACCAATGTCAAAAAATGTAAAATTATGAGAATAACAAAGAGAACACAACCTTATGTCTCTGATTTTTCCTTGGATAATTCCATCTTGGAAGAAGTTAAATAATTCAAAGACTTGGGGGTAACAACTACTGAACACTTGAATTGGAATTCACACATTGATATTATTGTGTCCAAAGCAAACAGAATGCTAGGGCTAATTAAAAGAACATGCAGAGGACTGGATGACTCAAATACACTGAGAACTCTCTACTGCGCATTGGTACGATGAAATGTTGAATACTGCTTTGTGGTATGGTCACCCTACACCAAAAAGAACACAGAACAGCTTGAAAAAGTACAAAAAAGAGCAACCAAATTCATATTAAAGACTTAGGACAGTTATGAGGCTCGTCTAAAGAGGTTAAATTTGATCTCATTAGAAAATAGAAGACTTTTAGCTGACGTTACATTTTTATATAATGCCCTCAATGGAATTATTGATATTAATATTGACTCTTATGTTGATTTTTATTCGGATGCTGACCATTATTCATTTAGGAAATATGATAATTTATCTTTAAAGAGGAAATACGCAAGAACAATTCCTCTCAAATATAGTTTTTTTCACAGGATAGTTGATTCTTGCAATCTTTTGCCTTTTGATACTCGTAGAGCAGCAAGTGTAAATATATTTAAGGCAGGAGTTAAGAAGTATTTAGTAGATAAGATATCTAATTAATAATTCCGTGGAAATTTTACGATAATTATTTCTAGTCTAAAACATATGTGATATTATTAGCCTATTAACTTTGGTGATCTGATTTCATATGGGGTCCTAGACTCCTTTACGGATTATCCATATGGCGTTTCTTTCCTTTTCGCTTTTACTTTATAACTTTTATTTGTTTTATCTGAGCCATTAAATTATAATAAATAAACAAGCGTAACGAACTCGTCTCTTCCTGCCGACACAGAAATAAAGCCCACTACGCAACAGCTAACTTGACACTTTTCGCACCAAATCAGTTGTGTTAATTAGTATAGTATATAAGCAATGGTACTGCGTTATTCTGTGAGTAGTCCAGTGGTCAGTGAAAGTGATAAATGAGATACAATGAATATATATGAATACATTACGAATCAACTTAACGGCCTGCTCCCAGTTGGCTAGTTAGCTCAATTGGTAGAGCGCTGCACTAGAATCGCAGAGGTCAGTGGTTCGAGTCCCGTACAAGCCTGATTTTTTTTCAGGTCTGATTTTCGCTATTGCATAAATAGCGCTATCTACTGCGAGGATCGTGCATCATACGTAAGTACACAACTGTAAAATGGCCTATTAACCCCGAGCCCAAAGTTTTCTGGCATATTGTATTCCGTGGACTGGACTGGACTGGACTGGACTGGACTAGTAAAACGCGGACTAGTAAAGCGCGGACTAGTAAAACGCGGACTAGTAAAACGCGGACTAGTAAAACGNCGTTTTACTAGTCCGCGCTTTACTAGTCCGCGTTTTACTAGTCCAGTCCAGTCCAGTCCAGTCCAGTCCACGGAATACCATATGCCAAGTTTTCTTGGTTCCTTGTCAGCCGTTGATCACCGGAGTGTGACAAGAAGCAGGTCACGAAAGCATCGACATTTTTCACTTGTACCGACATTTTCCGGGTCGACCTCGGTATCTCTGGTATTGAACATTTGGTATCAATTTCGGCCCGTCCTTACCACTTATCCTCATCGGGTTTATATTGGCGTCATGGCGTCGAATGTTTTCTCCGCAGTTTTGAGGCTCCAGTTTCAAATTACAACTCGTTCCGTCACCAAATACAAACAAGCTCTGTTGTTTCCGATGTCAGTGAGGCAGAAGCGTTCGTTGACTTACGGAAGCACAACTGACTACGCGAAAGAGGCAAACTGGAAATGTCGTCAGGATCTGGCAACGGCCTTTCGGGGTTTGCATTATTATGGAATGAGTGAGGGTGTCTGTACGCATTTGACAATGATGGCCCCTGCTATGAGCGGCGATGGAGAAGTTATGCTAATGATTCCACATGGCCTGCATTGGAGTCAGGTTTGTATCGACCTTGATATTGTGTGAATATAGACGTTTTGGTGTTTATCATCGATGAGTAGCTATAGGTGTCGATCCGTATTACTACCATGTTGGCCGAACTGGGGATTATTGGCCCGTTGTCGGGCGTGCGAACCGAGCGCAGCGAGGTCTATACAAATATTCAGTTTGATAGGGATTTTTGTCTTGTGATAAAGCAAGGTTGAATATCTAAGCTTTTGCGTGACACGATATAACGAATACGGTAGACTTTCGCGCGTGTCTTTCGCGAAAAAACATTGTTACCGAGCTAATTAAGGTGTAACTATCATAAAGTATATATCAGTGGAAAGGTTATGAAATGTGCTTTCCAGCAAAAATTGTTTCGTTTTAGCTTGATCAAATCGTAGCGCGAGTGAGGCGCTACAAGTCGAAAGGGACGATGTTTCTTTGAGCGAATTAATCTGGTATCTAATTTACCCGCACAAGTAAAACTTCAGCACAATTTCAATCTTAAGGGTTGGTCGAAAAAACAGTGTAGAGCTTTCTCGATATTCCCGTCGGTTGCTTTACAATCCTTCTGTCAAGGTTGGATATCAAAATTTTACTGATACGCGTTATGTCGGGTAGGTTGGAAAATATCGAATGCTGGAACATTAGGAACCGGAACACTTGGAATGCGTGAAATACCCGGAATTCCCGGAATGACCGAAAAAAAGATAAATTTAAAAAGATAATTAATAATTAAAAACAATAAATTTTAATAAATATTAAGTTCATTAATTTAAAAATAAAATAAGGTAAGAATGAAAATAAAAAGGAAAATCAGTTCTCTATAAATAGAACATAAAAAGCTAAATTTTCACCCGATAAAATGCAGGGGACCACGTGACATAAAAAACAACTACCTATGGCATTGTTCACGGGGATGCACATAGTAGAACTACATGTAGTTTACAGCCTACAATACACAAACTGATGCCGAAGATTGCTTTAAGGTAAATAATCCAGAAGCGTTGTTAATTATTGACAGACATGAAGCACTGTGGGTTCTAAGTGGAAAAGTGGATGCGAATACGTTAAGTACTTAGCAAGCGAACCTTAAAAGTGACCGCATCATTCCCTCTTTGAAGGAAGTTTTATTCTAAGTAATTTCTACAAAATAAAATGACTGGATTTATGAGGGTCAGTAATTGACAGTCTAGCGACGCACTTCCGTTCATTGCTCAAGATGTTCTAACCCGCAGCCTTGCAACACAATCAGTCTCGGTTCTCGCATCACGTGCATCACCAGCTTGTTCGATATTTCAGTTCCCTCCCATCTCTTCCGTTCAATAATTTCTCGTATTGTAGCTTTCCTTATTTCCATGTATTGTAACTTTGTTACCTTCGGCAGGGGTTTATAATTGAATGTTTTTGTAATTAGGGTGGGCGGGCCTCGTTTAATCGTTACTTGTCGATAAATAAACTGCCAGACCGTCACGCCAACACCGCTTGTTGTTTACTGTCTCGGAAGTGTCAACCATTGTTTGCAAAGAAACTTTGGACCATGTCGTGTCCATCAACTTCATAAAGAGTATAAATCTCCACACGCCAGTAATTTTTAAGAGCAACGCCTCTTTCAAAGTTATCTCCGTAACCACTAAAACTGCGTTCTATGAATAAAAATTTGACTATTTTCTAATGGTTTTGATGATGGTGTGACAGTGAAAATTGACAATGTGCGAAGGCTAACCCAGCGGGCAAAACGATCTCTGCTCGGGATATCTCGCTTTGAATCCCACGCAAGAGCGAACTT